GGAGGAGGGCGGCCCTGCTCCCGCCCCTGCCGGTGCTCCCTCCCCGCCCGGGTGCGTCTCAGACTCGGGAAGGCGACGCGAGCCCCGCACCCTCGACCCCGAAGCCACCGAGGCGACGCCGCGGCCCTCGGAGTCCTGCTGGCAGGACCTTCAATTACTGCCGGAAAGAACCGCCAGTCGTTTTTCCCTACACCTGTTACCGCCTGTCTGTCACGGCCCAAGTGTTTTTTTTCTTTTTTAAGTGGGGTTCACGCGAGTTACTTCCTAGACTCTTTAAAGGAAGGTATTTGATAGTGCCTATAATTAGAATTAGACCTGTCGGAGTTAGCATCCTTTCTCCAGCCTTTAAATGCAAATACGATCTTCGTGTTCAGCTACTTTTGTCAGTTTCCTGCCAGTGATTGTATTTATCTCATAGGGTTGTTGGGAGGATTAAATGGTACAGGGTATGTAAAGTGCACCTCACACACGTAGTAGATGGTAGCTAGAAAAATAATATGCTCTTGGAGGCCTTAGAGTCCAGCTTATGGAGAAAGTTAACAGTTGCTGGTTAATTTCAATGAAATGAAGGTTTTAACCATCAGTTTAGGTTTTAGGACATGCTGAGCTGGTTTCTTGAAAGCAGAGGGAAAAGATGCCCTAGAAAAAGTCTCCAATATCTAGATGGGGTTTATATGACAGTGTGAATGATGTGTTTTTGGAAAAATGAAAGCTTATTGAAAGAAATTGACCACTCCACTCCCACAGCTCCTGCAGTGTTGAAAGCCCAGGAAAGGAGTTCCTGTGAAGAGGGTGTGGAGAGAGGAGCGTAGAGGGGGTCATGAAGAATGGTATCAAACTTACTAGATTACCTGCCATTTGTGGTTTTGGTCACAGAATTTAATAGAATGTTGAATGTAACTAATCTAAAAAAGCAACAATATACTAATAACTGCTGACATGGATTAAGCGTTTAATGTGTGCAGAACACTTAATTTTCACAACAACCCTGTGTTATGAGGTAGGCTCCACATTTAACAGAAACAGAAAATGGTGCAAAGGTAAGTCCAATAAATTACTCAAGTCATGGAACCAGAAAAGGGCAGAGCTGGGATTCAAACCCAAGCTGGCTGTGAAATCAGGCATGAGTGTATTATCATGTTCAACCCAGGCAGGTTGGCACCTGGGTCCAGTTCCTTAACCACTATGTGGCCGTGACATCGTGCTGCACAGATTTTTTTTAAATGTTAATATAGAGTTCTTGGTATGAAAAATAGAAGGCTTGACCAAATCTGAGTATGTTGCATTATTGGAAAAAAGAAGGATGATCTCTGCTTGTTCTTAAGCTTGAAATCTTGAAAGACAAAATGAGGTGTTGGTGGGGGCATTTTAATCACAATAAAAAAAAACTCAATTAATCATAGGGGAAAACTTCTTGGCAATGAGAGAAATTAAGTGCCAAGAGATTTGGGGATTCCCACGTTAAGACTGTGTATGTTTGGAGGATAGTTATGCCTGGCCATGGGATCTGGACAAATAACCTCTGATATTCCATCCCAGTTTCACTAGTATAAACTCTCAAAGTTAAGACAATCCTGAAATAATAATGATAGGATCAAACATTTATTAAGCACTTAAAATGTGTCAGACACGTTATGATTTAATCCTCAAAAGAATCCTGTGTGATAGGTCATTTTTACCAACATTTAACAAAGAAATAAGGAGAAAACTGATGCTAAGTGGTGGGGCTGGGACTTATATCTGATTCTCTCTTGCTTGGAAGCCCATGTGCTTTACCAGTATTCTAAATTACTGTGGGAACTGCCCCCAGAACCCTGGATGTAGGTTATTTACGCATGTAGGCTTTCGAGTCAAATGAAATGTATTGCAATCTTAGATCATCCTTTAACAGATTTTTTAATTTGGACAATTTACTCAAATTCTGAGCCTCCCTTTCCTTGAATATAAAATAGAGATGTTAATAGCTACTTTAAAGGATGGATGGAATCCTTGAGGTAAAGATTCATAGCACATACAGCACAGTGTCTGGCAAATAGGAGGTGCTCAATAAATGTTCCCAAGAATGAGTTGCACAGAAATACTTAAAATCATTCTAGCAATGACAAGAGAGTCTGTTAGAAACTTTAGTTCACTTCAGGAAAATTAACATGGTAAAATCTGAATTTACAAAACAGATTAATTCAGAGTGATTGTTTACTTGTGCAGAGTAATCACTCTGTTCTAATCAGTAGTTTTCCAATTTAATAAACACAGGAATCCCCTCGGGAGCTTATTAAAAATGCGTATCTCTAGTTTCATCCTTCAAAAGCTTTTCTTTTAGAGGGGCTGCAGATAAGTTCAGCTGTTTGCATTTCAACTCACAAACTCTTTCCTCTCCCAGGTGGGGGACTCTGATGTAGGAGCTTCCTCCAATACACAGCTGATGATGATGAAAATATTCTTCATATTGTCTAGCTTTTTATCATGGAGAATTTCAAACATACACAAAAGCTGACATGATGAATCTCATGTATTCATCAACCAGCTGCAACAATGATCGAATTGTTCATCACCTTTCCCATCCCTCACTCCATTTTTTGAAGCAAATCCCAGATATCACTTCATTTGTAAATATTTACTTTTATATCTCTATATACCTGTATATCTATAATGTAAGGACTCTTACGATATATGTAGTATAATGTAAAAGAGATGATACATATAATGGCTCTCTTTAAAAAATATAAACCACAATATCATTATCACATCTAAAGATTAATAATTCCTTACCATCAAATATCTAGTCAGTGTTCAGATTTCAGTTTGTCTCATAAATGTCACTTTTGTTTTTAACTTTGTGAATTTGAATCAGGAGTCAAATAAGTTCCACGGATTGTGATTGGCTGATATTAAGTCTCTTATTTAAAAAAATTTAAGTCTCTTTCAATCTGTAGATTTCCACTTTATCTCTTTTTATTTTCCCCCCTCAAGAAGTTTGTTAAAGAAGCTGGGTTATTTGTCCCATAGTCTAAAGCAGGGGTTGACTAATTTTTTTTTTTTGTAAAGGGCCAGATAATAAACATCTTAGGCACAATGTTGTTGGACAGCACTGCTAAAGTTTCTCCTGGTCTAGACATTGCCAGTTGTATCTCCATGGTGTAATTTGACATGTTCTTCCATCCTCTATATTTCCTGTAAATTGAAGTCCTATAAGTTGTACCTACCTCTTGGTCATAGTCAGGTTTGATTTTTTTTTTTTTTATCTTTCCCTCTTGGTGGTGTGGCAAGCTTCTCTATAGGTTCCTGGGTATTTTAAAATGTTTAATTTATAGCATATTAAGTAGACTATCTACTATAGTATGTAGTATATAGCACATAATATAAAGAACACGGTAAAGAAATATATTGGGTAAAATTAAGCTTTGCTTTGTAATAATGTTTAATGTATTAAATACTGTTATTTACTATAACAATAAAGTAGGAACAGTAATTTTTAAGATGAAATTTGGTATAGTAGAGGTGTTCCTAATACCAGCTGCTCGGGACTCCCTGTCAGTTGATTAACTGACCTTTAGAAACAAACCCACATAGCAAAGACTATTAACCCATGTCCTGAGTAAGCCAGCCGTTTTTACTTTTTTGGTGAGGTCATGATGATAGAGGGTAGTGGGGCAGAGACAAGCAGACAGTCAAGTTACTTCATTTAACAGGGTGATTACATAAGGGTGTTATTGGGGTTTGGGGGTTTTTGTTTGTTTGGTTTGGTTTTTTTGTTTGTTTGTTTGTTTTTTTGTTTTTGAAGAGTCTACATTCCTTGTGGATTGGATACTGGTTTTAAAATTAAGTAAAACATATTTTAAATTACTTCTTCTAAAATGAACCCCAAGAAGCTCACACACCACCTCAGCTCTTCACTTAGCACTTTAAAATTAATTCTGAAATGAAACGGCATCTGTAAAATTAGGAGAACTTTCATATCTCTATTACTGTACATTACGTTGTTGCCTGGGCTTAAGCTTTTCATCTTTGTGTTAGACTTGAATCCCTGAATTTTAAAAGAAAGGCAAAAATGCTAACTGTTGAGATATGCTAGCAGATAACAGAGCTTTTACTTTAATAAAGGCTGTTATTTCATCTTTTGAAGTGTTAGACATAAAACCAGCTGGTTTTAGACACTTTGTTATGATTTAATTCCAAATGGAAAAAACAGATTGTATATATAAATAAATTTTCAAGTAGCAAATCCTAAGGTGAAATATTCTAAAATGCCAGCGTTCTCCCTAAGTTTTGTAATTGAATATGATCAGTTACAAGCAATAAACTGAAGAAAATGAGTAACAGTAGCTTCGACAGTGTTTGAAATCATAAATACCAAAATTCATTCTTTCTACTACTTTAAGATATAATACTTTTTATCTTCACAAAGGGTGAACAGTTAAAGTGCTTTCATAGATATGACTGAGTCTCACAATGGCTGTTTTACAGTTCCATAAAGTACTTCTGATCACGTGCTGATTACTTGCAAAAGGACTATAAGCCTAATGTTAATTTTTTAAATAAAAAGAATAATGTTGCTTTTGGTCTTGAGAATGTATTTAGCATTTTAATGCCTGAACGCATATTGGTCTTATGATTGGACACCAGAAGTAAATTAAAGCACATTTTAGGTCCTCTTAATTAACTTGATTTTCAGTCAGGTTTTTTTTCCCCCTTTGGTCTCCATCTACTCCCAACCAAAAAAGATATTTTAGAGGAAGTTCTTTATAAACCATTTCCCTTGACATTCAAGTAAGTAAGAAAACATAAGATCTTTGTACAATTAAATAAATAATTTAATGTCTAGATCACTGACTACTTAGTTTAAAATCACTAGTCTAGATGTTTGCATCAGTTTGTTTGTAAGATTTGGACCTTAAAACCATACATTTTTCAGTAAAATAATTATTTCAGTTCCCCCAGTCTCCTGACAAGGCATTTCATGTCTGTTAACTTGTTTTGTGATGGCTTAATAGCAGCTATATTTTTAGGTCAAGTAATATACAATCCAAACTTTAAAAAATTTACTTTTTAAAACTTTGTTTCCAAGTTCTAAGCATTCTGAGGTGTGTAATTTAATTTTGACTTCAGTGGGAAAATGTCACCTTTGTAGTGAGAAAGAAGTAAATTGTAGAAACCAGAAGTCCTTGTTTTACTTACTTCATTATCCCCTTAAATATTGATTCCTAAACATTCTTCTCGTTCCCTACTTCCTCCATGTCTCTAGGTCAGCTACACTGCTGGTACCTAAGTTATTTGGGTTTTATTTATATTTGTTTTTCTAGCTCTATTGACGTATAATTGACATATAACATTATGTAAGTTTAAGATGATTTGACACATTTATACATTGCAAAATGATGATCACCATAGCATTTGTTAACACCTCCATCCCATCATTTAATTACTATTACTTTTTTGTGGTGAGAACATTTAAAATCTCTTTTAGCAACTTTCAACTGTATAACACGGTATTATTAGCTGTAATTATCATGCTGTACGTCAGAACCCCGAACCTGTTAATCTTATAACTGGAAGTTTTGGGGTTTTAATTGTTATCAACCTAGGGCTTCCTCCACAGAGATTCTTCATCAAGCTAGAGTGGTAACCTCAGAAATTACCATCCCAAAAGCTTAATTAGACCAGGTCAGATCAAAAATACAACACTTGGAGTTCAAGTTCCCAGTAAATGGGAGCTGCCTAAACACATGTGATACCCCAGATTCCCAGGCTGCCTCTGTCCTAGGAGATGACTTAGAACCATGTTAGTCAGCCCATGGCCACTGCTAGAAGAAGAATGCGAGGACCATCCACCTCCATCCTGAGCTTGAGGGGTTGGGTTGACCCAAAAGGTTTAGGATTCCATTAGTATTGCACACCATTTCCAATACCTCATTCAGCTCTCTCTGAGCCAATGCTGTTTTCATTTTCCTTTCTTCCCTGACTTTTACCCCATCTCCATCCTGTTTCCAAAGCCTCTTTCTGTTTGATGCATGTTTCTTGCTTCTATCCATTTTCTGGCTCCACAGCCAAGTGTCTCATCATTTCTTCCTTAGTAATCTACTTCTCCCTCCAGCATCACATTCAACACTCAGCCCTTTGTGCCTCTTCCAAAGTAATTTTTTTCTGCCAGCTAATTTAGTGCTGCCAGAGTTTTCATCAAAAGTCTGTAATGGCTGACCATTACCCCTACTCCAGATTTCATGACCATTTATCAAGCTGGCCTGCACCGCACCATCCATCCACCTGACACTATCAATCAGCATAACACAGAGATGTTGCCATGCTGACCTACAGTTTCCTTCAGCCAGGCTGTCTCTCCCACCTCTGCACTCTCCTCCTTTGTTCTTTTGTTAGAATCCCTCTTCCCAAATCTTACAGGATTCTTCCCCAAGACTTTTACTAATGATGATTTCCATTGTTAGAGCTGCTTCTTGTACCTACAACTTATCAGTGCATGTTTATGTTAACTTGTTAGTTTTCTTTTGGCTTCAATGCAAGTTATTGTCTTATACATTTTACATTTTAATTTGTATGTCAATGTGTGTCTATTGCATTATTATTCATCTTTAGGGTATATACTGTACTGTGTGCTTCCTTGTAGACCAGGTGTTTAATAAATACCTGCTGATGATGTTGACCTTGGGCCAGGCACCTAATTTGTCCTACCTATTACACCTTTCCTTTGCCAACTTTTCAGTAGTGTGTGAGGTTTGGTAATGTAATTACTGAGTATTTTATGTTCTGTTTTTCTAGTAGTGTGTGTGTGCACGTGTGCAGACACACACGTGCACACACACACTTTCCAAAAGAGAACATAGATATGATCTTGGTCACTGACTTTATGACTGCATGCAGATTATTGAACCTAAGCCTCAGTTTCCTAATCTGTGAAATGGGGAATGACAGAAACTACCTTAGAGGGTTGTTATAAGGATAGGGGTGTGGGGATTGTGTTCAGAGTGCCTAGTACAATGTCTGACAAATAGAAGATACTTCAGAAATAGTCATTTTTATTATTGTTAATCTAGATGTTGAGTTTTAATTCATTTAGAAGGGGGAAAGAAATGATTCTTACTGTGACACTGGATTACATTAATATTTAATTTTTTCTATCTCTAGGTTGAATATATTTCAGGGAAAGTGTTTTTCACCACTTGTTCTGACTTAAATATGCTGAAAAAATTAAAATCTGCAGAAAGATTATTTTTGCTGATTAAAAAGCAGTTACCACTTAATGTTTCTTCTGGAAGTAAAGGTACGGTGTATACCTATCACTTTTACCCATACCATATATTGTACTCCAGAGTTTCCTGCTTGATAATTAGTATGTAGCCATTTCACATTTCTAAGATTCATTCATACCTGTGAGTTCATTAATTAGGTATTTTTCTGTATTTCCTGCATATTATCACCTAGTTGTATCTCTTCTCTTTGCAATCTCCTGTCTGTTTTCTGAGACTTTAGTGTCCCAAATCACATTTCATCCTTGAGAATCGTGGTCAGACACCTTCTCTAGAGATATGTATGGTCAGTGCATTTATTTAGATTTAGGAGCATGTAATAACCCAAAATGCATTGATTTAATAAGTTGGTCAAAACTGTCACCTTGTAAATTTTAACTGATGAGTGATATAACTGGAAGAATAGAATACTGCATAGTAAAATTTCCTGTTGGGGTGACTCTAAATGTTTTGAATAAACTTAAACTCATTTATAAGGCATTAGAGCTAAAAGGGGCTTAAGAGTTTCCTGATCCCTCCCTAATTTTATAAATATGCTGCTAAAATAATTTAAAGATATTGATAAAAGCAACAAAAGAAGGATTAGATACAGCTGGATTAAGCATTGTCTTAAATCTCATCTTGATTGCTGCTTGTGCACCAGAGATCATGTAATCATAGCCTATAATAAACCGTGTCAAGAGCATACAAATGGCGAGAAATCAAGAAAGTATTTAAAGCAAATACTAAGGTATTATACCATGGGGTCAATATAATTTCATCCCAATATTTCACACACTTTCATCTTCAGAGAACTACAGTAATTATTCTTGGGTCATCTTGACCACCCTTGTTCATCAAGAAAAGAGTACACTTACCAAGCATGGCTGGCAGCCTGAGTTATGAATGGGTTGTGGATATCTGAAGTGTTACTTTATGGAAACTCATTTTATCACCTGTGCTGATATTACATGGTCTAAAATAGTCCCAAGATTCAGTTGCTCTGTTTTTGAGCGCTGTGTTTTGCAATTTATTCTGTTTTTTTAATTTAATTTTTAAAAATCAGCATTATTTCAGAGATCAACACACACTCTAGGTCTATGAGTATGTTGAAGAGTTACATATGTTAACATAGGACAAATGATCTTGGTAAAGTATATACCATCTTTGGAAGAATTTTAAAACAGTTTTGATGCTAAGTATGGAATATAAGAACAAAGTTTACTCTGTACAGTATTTATGTTAAATTATATAAATTCCGATGAAAGGGATGTCACTATGTAGCAATTTATCAGCACCAACCAACTGAGCTAACCGGCCAGCTTCTATGTAGCAATTTAATAAAACTTATTTTAAAGAAATAAAGGCAATGGGGTTTCAGAGTGATGAATAGCTTCAACATAGGATAAACTGAGATTTTATTTATTTAGGAAAAATATTTAATGAAATGCAAAGACTTATAAATGACGATCCTGAAAGCTGGTTGAAAGCCATTTCAATTTGGAAAAATCTTGAACTTGATGCAAAAAAGGAAAAACTTTCTCAGAAAGATGCTAACCCACTAAAAAGAAAAATGGGAGAAAATGATGTCATCGTTGCTAAAAAGTTGGAAACAGAACAAATGCACGAGATACGCGAGAATAAGGAATGCCAGCTGGAAAAACAAATAGAAGCAGCAGCACTGGAGCAAGGACATCGCATCACTAAGAGACAAGAATTTCTAGAAGAAGATCTTCAGAAGGATGCAGTGGGCTCTCGTACCCACAGCGACTTGACTTTCAGAGTCTCCTGTCGCTGCAGTGGCGCTATCGCGAAGACCTTTACTGCACAGGTACGCGCACCTCCCAAAGTGGGTTCCCGTTTTCTGAAAGAATTCGTTACTCTCTAGATCTAAAATGACATGAACACCTTTCACAGAGTACATAACCAGGTCCAGACAGACAACTGGGCCTAATCTCATATAATTAAGTCTCTTTGAAAATGCACTTTCCTTCTTAACTTTACCTCGAACGTTAAAGAGGAATAGTATGCCACTCTGGGTACAGACCTCCTTTCACTTTCTCCTTAAACATTTCCTCCAACTCATAGATATCCTTTACATTTGGAAATCCTAGGATTGTGGTCCTAAGCTTTTTGGCTTTCTCTTCAGTTCAGTTGTGTGTGTGTGGACTGGCTGCTCTGCTCCAGGTCCTGCAGGTGTGACCGTCCCCGGACCAGACTGCCGATACACAGATGTACTCGAAGGGAGAGCGAACACCGCACACAGACCCTTACAGGACAATAAGGGCTTCGGTCTGGGTCCTTTGGGCAACCTTAAAATCATACAGACCCTGAAGTTTGGGCCTAATGCTACTGATCTCGTCATTTTGGAACATACAGGATTGCAGTAGCTGAAATAGTTCATTTTTCAGCTTGCATCTGTTTCCTAAAATCCAGAATGACCATGTTGATCAGGCCATGGTCTGGTTATTTCACGTGTCTAAAGTGACAAGAATAGAGATTATACACAAGCAGACGTTAATGCGTTAGTGTAATATTTTAATATCATAACCTTAAATTACCATCAGATAGTCTGACTTGATTTTCCTACAGGCTACAGGCTATTAGTTTTTGCTTACACTTAAACTTAAAATTTTCGTTTTTTTGTATTCTTAACTTTTCTATAACCTGCTGCTTTTCCAGGAGGTAGGAAGAGTATTTGGAATTGCTCTTATGAAGCAGTTTGGATGGAAAGCAGATTTGAGGAATCCCAATTTAGAGGTAATGAATGTTCATTTTATTTTATATGCTTATAACCTAATTCTTTAAAGACAATGCCAACTATTCCTTTTTTTTTTAATTGAAATATAGTTGATGTAAAATACTACGTTTCAGGTGAACTACATAGTGATTCGACATTTACGTACATTACAAAATGATCGCCACTTTAAGTCCGGAACCGTCCTTCCCGTACAAAGGTGTTACAATATTATCGCCATGTCATCTACTCTTACTGTACTTCTAGAGTTTTAAAAATTATGTGTACAAGGATGCAGCAGTCTGTTTTCTCTTCTGCATTAGAATACTACAGATAATTCTGCTAGTAGTTTTCACTGTGAAAAATCTCTCATCCAAATAGGACTTTTGGAATAGAGTTGTTTAGTCACAGTTGAACTAAAAAACATTTATTATAAGGTTACAGAGATGTTTTGTTTAATCACAGTAACATATGACAGGTCTCTGTAATAAGAAATTCTAGCTAATGGCAAAAAAAAAAAAAAGGAAAACAAAAAAGCCAGCACAAAGCTCAATAGTGTGTTAATAGTGGCTTGCTTAGGGTGTGGGGTTATTTTTCTTTTCTCTTTCTGTATTTGCAAAATTAATTTAATGAGGTCACACAGTGTTTAATTGGAACAGAGTAAACACGCAGGGAAACAAATTTTAGCAATAAAAAAGTCTTCACTATTTTTTGAAAACCATCTCATAAATTCAACAGTTAGTCTAGTCATTTTTATGATTCATTCATTCATAAATTTATTGTTATAAAGCTTGGAGTAATGGCTGGCCAAATCAGAAGATTCTGTGTTGTTTTTCAATTTTGTTATCTGATATTTTTTGCTTTTAAAAAGTAGCACCTGGTGTATAGCCTTTATTTCTGCTATGGAAAATATTTTGACCCCAAGAATGTTTTGATGTAAGAGTGCCTTTCTTCACTGCCCCCTTTCCAGTTCTCCTTGCTTTCCTGGTTTCCTCCTTTCCCTCTCCCCCGACTCCATCTCACTGTCTCAGAATTATAGTTTCCTCATGGTTTAGTTCATAAATATATCTAATTTAACTCCTGTCACTCATTTATTACAATTAATAATAGCTATTGGTAGAAATAATTAACACAAAATTGGCAACAATTCACACATAGTAAAATCTGTGTGACAGAAACTGACAGAAGAATCAAATCTTAACAAATTTTATTCTGCAAAATTAATAGAAAAAACTTTATAGTCAGAAAAGCTATTCCTGACATTTGATATATAAAAATATTAATATGTCATATCTTTAATATAAATGTTAAATAGAAGAGAATTAATCCCAATCAATAGATTTCCTAAAATGAATAATATACAAAATTGGGAAGTTTAGCTTCAGTGATCAAGGGATTAAACTGACTAAATGGAGTTCATTCCAGGTTGCTCTTTTCTTAATAAAAATTTATCAATATTGTAATAATTCTGATGAAACTATATTAAAATAACTTTGGGGTGAAAGTATGAGGGATCAAATGTTCTCAAGGTCAAACAACAGAGTTAGAATATTCCATAAACCTCATCAGGCTACAGAAATAAGATTCTTTTAAAATTTATGTGAGCTACTAATTATAACTTGAGACATTTAAATCCTCATTGTGACCTAACATGATGACTGCAGCTAACAATGCTGTATGATATATAGGAAAGTTGTTAAGAGAGTAAATCCTAAGAGTCCTTCTCACGAGGGAAAATTCTTTTCCTTTTTTCTTTTTATTGTGTCTATCTGAGAAGATGGATGTTAGTTGAACCTATTGTGGTGATCATTTCATAATATTTGTAAATCAGACCATCATGCTGTGCATCATAAATTTAAACAGTGATGTATGTCAATTATTTCTCAATCAGACTGCTCACCTAGAGATGGTAGGGAGGGAAAAGGTCACCCTTGCTACAGTATATTCGGCCTAAAGAACGTTTTCTGTCAACTGTGGCCTCAAGTCTTATTTGAGGTTAGAATCAGGGCACATTTAGATAGTCCTCTCTAACCTAAAATGTTGAAAAATCTGATTTAGTTAGGGTCATTCAGAGAATCTCTGGGAAGAAAGTTTATCTTGAGTTCCTTCACAATTCTCAGTATAACTCAATATAACCAAACTGATCTCTGAATTTTTCTATGATGTGTGCTTAAAATTCACTTTGCCTCTGCTCAAGAAAAGATATTATGGAATATTTTCCCAGAAATGACAAATAAAACCTTGGAATCTCTTATTAAAATATAGATTATATAGGTTCAAAATGGAAGCTTTCAAACTGTCAATAATTTGGTCGTGCGTTTCCTGTTCCATTCTAACTTCAATGTTTGTTTTTTCAGGTCTTTATACATCTAAGTGACATTTACTCTGTGGTGGGAATTCCCATGTTCAGGTAGATATTGTATTCTTAGCTTCAGATTTGTCCCTAGGAGAGTTTGTAAAATTAAGAACTTTATGCTTGTATTTCTAGTATGAAACATTGATGTCAGAGGGGGCTAAAGGCATTTGAGTTCTTTGCTTGAGCCAGTCAAGTGTTTTCATGGAGGCTAGTGGATCTGACTTGATCTGACTAGGTAGAGCTGTGAAAGATTTGATCACAGTAGTCCACTGATTACATGATTCATACTGAAAATTATAACTAATTATTTCTGTTACTGAATGATTTTCACAGGCCCACATTTAAGTTAAAAATTTTAGTCTGTTGGTATCTTGGAGTTCTGATTAAAATAGAAAATACAGCCCAATTCTTAAAATTCACCTTGAATATTTTTCAAATTTTATTGCAATTATTCTTTTTTTTTTTTTTTTTTTTTGGTGGAGAGCATGATTCCAGTTTTTAAAATATTCTTCAGGTTTTTTCCTTAGTCATGTTGGGTACTATGTAATAATAAACGCAAAAGATTCATTTCCTTATTCAGAAATACTTATTGAACGCTTATTGTCCAACTAGTACTTTTCTAGATGCTTTGGGAGGAAGGAGCTGGTTGGATGGAAATAATGATTTTCAGTTTCTTGGTGGGATGTAAATGCTGGCATCTTGAAAACATTTTATACGCATAGCCCTGTTTACATAGTATAAAGAGATTTAGATACCCTTTTTCTAGGTGATTCTAGGCATGGAATGTTTTTTAAGAAAAAAAAAAAATCATAGAAGTCCCATGGGAATACCTCATGTACCCTAAGCTCTCATTGAGGCATGTGTAAGCCTCAATCAGGATGTAAAGAAAGAATGCTTAAGTTCACTGTAATAGCTTTATCAAACAGCAAGCTGTAGCAGTTGATCAGCACACTGCTAAGAACATGGTTGATGTTCAAGTTCTTGCTGTATGCTAGTTATACAGTAGCTCCACTAGCCTCTGCATTACGAAAATCATGAGCTAAATAATATTTCTCGTCACCTTAACAGACATGAGGTCATCACCTGCCTCAATGCCCTATTGGTTTCCCTTGGCCGCTACCCACCCAAACTCCCTATAAACTCTCCCAGACCAAACCTAACCTGCTGTTTCACACCTACACCTAAAAGGTGTCCAGGGCCCCGTACTCCAGTGCCTTTTGAAGTCCTAGGCCCTAACCCTGCAGAATATTTGTAAAACTCTTTGATTTTTTTTTTAAACAATTTTGCCTACTTGGGTTTTTTAAATTTCATAGTAGTTGACGGGAAAGGTGGGGAAAACTGAAAGATGGCCACATTTCACCCTAGTATAGTTATTGATGGTCATCGAGACAAGGGTAAGGAAGACTAGTAAAACAGTTAAATAGGAAATATATTTTTAGAAGGATTCATAAAGCAGCTAAATAGTCTTTAACACTTTGGTCCAGAAAAGGGTGAGCTTAATTATCTAGAATATTGGTTTATGAGGAACATTTCATCCCCAGCAGTGCTGACGGAGGTAGCACGAATGTGTTTATATTTTTAGTACCAAATGAAAGAATTCATTTTTAATTTGTAATTATATATAACATACTAAATTTTATGCTTTTGTTATTAAGTTTCTATATGTTTTTAAACAGAGTACAATTTTATTTAATGCTTGCTAGACATCCTCAAGAAGTCATGCTTATGGCACCTCTGGTAACATACCTAAAAGTTGACAAATAAAATGTGCGTGTCTGAAAGTTAAGGCTCAGGCCCTGAATGGGCAGTGGCTGAAAATAAGATTACATTAGATGCTCTGCGATTAGTCAGTTTGACTACCTCAGTGAAGGGAGGAAGCAGTCATGATACGTGTTGGCTAAAAAGAACAATTGGCCGGTGTGTGAGGAGCAGGGGGTGTATAAAGACTTGAACAACAGACAGCAGTGCATGGAAGGCGTGACATGGAGGTCAGGAGCTGCAGCCTGGTGACCCTGATGAGAGAGGAAAGTCAGAAGTGGTGGAAGGGAGTGTGGAGCAGCCATGGAGTGTGAGGGATACAGAAAAATGTACATCTTAGTAGTCCCTAAAGACGTTTGGATGGAGCTCTTCCTTCTTTGAGTAAAGAAGCATTTGGGTATCAGTAGCTCCTTAGGCATTAACTGTGTCCGCTGTGCCACGCCGCACACATTGCCTGGCACAGGATGGCACGGGGGTAAGGACCGAGACTTCAAGTCTGCCTTCTCCACAGAAGAACTCTGCAAGGTCGAGCATGTGATCACATCCCTCTGCTATAAAATCAAGGAAAGAGTAGTGTGTACTTCACAGCTTTGTGGTTCGGATTAAATGAGACAGCACAGGGGAAAACGAGATTACTGTTTTTAGGATACAGTATGTTGAATAAATTTCAACCATTTTACTTTTTCAACAGACCAGCAACTAGGGAAGGAATGGGAGAAGCATTTACCAGAGTAAGATTAATTCATTCTATTGATTTCAGTTGAAACAGATAGTAAGTACTTACTCTGGATATCTAACATTGTGCTAGAGATCTGATATTCAAAGATGAGTAAGATGGTTATTGAGTACAAAGGATGCAGTCCAGTGGTGGAACAGGTATGTGATCAGTGCTTGACTAGAGTTAGAAAAGGGGACCCAACTGATGGAGGACAGGTGAGCAAAAGAACAGAGAGGAGTTTCACTTAATGCATCACTTAAATGGAGAATAACAGGTAAGTGGACAAGAGGAGAAGATCTTACCAGCAAGGAACTGCATGTGCAGAGGCAGGGGGGTGGAGGGGGCTTGAGGTACACGGAGGACAGCGCGTAGTTTCAGCATAGATGGGACAGGGAGAGTGGGAGAAAATGAGACTGGACGATTAGGAACCGTTCACCAAGGATCTTGTAAGCCGTGTTAAATAACTTGGATTTCATTCTAGAAGCAGTAAGAATTTGAAGCAGATGAGTGATAATTTTAGATTTGTGATTTTAAAAAATTACCAGGGAAATGATATTTTAAAGTGGAAGGGAAATAAAAAGGAAAGGCGGGGGGAGGTGGTTAAACTCTTACAGTAGTTCAGGCAGTGAAAGCTGAAGAACTGAACTAAGGCAAAAGGTGGGGGCAACGCAATAGAGGCCATGAACTCCAGAAAAAGTTAAGGAGCCTAGAATAACTTCCAGATGTCTGATCTGGGCAACTAAGAGACACTAGTCAGTCACTGATACAAAATGCGGGGAAAGGAAGTAGTGTGTGTTCAGTGCAAGATGCCCAGGTGGATACTTAAAGTTACAGCCCTAGGGTTCAGGTGACAAGTCTAGGCTGGAGATGTAGATTCAGACCCAGTACATAGATGGTAAGTGGCCTAAGAAAATGAAGAAATGTATTGAGGTATGAACTACAAGGAAAGGAGAGTGTGCTTAGTTGATATCTGCAAGTTTTGCAGTGCTTAAATAACCTCCAGGTAAAAGGTGTCCAAACACACACTTGAAGACAAAGATCTGGGACTCAGGTGACACATCTAGGCTAGAGCTTTGGATGAGAATGTCTTCAACTTGGTGATGGATGGCATGTGAGAGACTGAAGAAGAAATGCATAATGTGGAAAAGAGAATCAAAAACCACATTTTTTTTTGTATTATGGTAACATCCAGCTAAACTCTGATTAAGCACATTAACCAGATCCTATGAAAGTAGAGAATTATTTTTATTTCTATGGAGTTTATTTCTGAATACTTCCTTCCTTTGAATAATTTTATGATACTGATATGACAGGGCCCTTTTGTTGAAGTGATAGCAGATTGGTTTTGCCCAAGTTTAAACAAAATAAGAATGCATTCACTTTTGTCACATACTAATAGAGTTGGCTCCCATAAAATAAAACCTGTTAGTAGAAACATGTGCATAACGGTCAAAACTTCCAAAGGTTCTGCATGAATCCCTGATGCTTAGGAAAGCGCTTTGTGATATACGTGGACAAAGAAAGTTTTCCAGACTGTTTCTCTCCTGTGTGTGTGTGTATCTAGGGTGAAAATAATCTCTCAATCTGGGTTTTAATGTGTTCTGTAGTAAGATACTGATCCAAATATTTTATAGTCTTTCTGCCTGCAAAGTTTATATCCCCAATTCCAAATCTATGGATATAGTACTATTTACAATGTGAATTTTTATTTCCTGAAAAACCTTAAAAAAAAAAAAAGAAAGATGAGAAAGAAAATGATGAAAGGAAATAAGGTTTGGAAAACACTATGGCTTTGTGTCGTGTTAGTGGAAGAGCCCCCTTAGTGGGTTTGGAACAAGTCTACCCCCAAAACAACCAAGCACTAATTGTTAAAATCAGACCTTTACATCTTAGCAACAGATTGTATAAACGAAATAGAAAAGTGCATTGAAATGTCCAAGGCAATGCTTGTTCACTGCATTAGAAACATAGAAATAATATTTTGAAAAATTCTATGAAATCTGGAAACACTGATAGTGGCAATGATGAGGCAGAGGACAAAGTATGAAGTGATACTTAATGGAGACCAGTGAACTCACTGGGGAGATGTCTGCCCCAGCCCTGCAGTCAGTACGTTATTTTAGGTAGTGCAACGTCATGCTTCATCCCATCTTTTGAGAAAGATGCAAATGAGCAAAAAGCAAACTTACAAAAGGGACTTTATAGAAAACATATTCTGAGGGTTAGCATCCGTTCAGCCCTGTTCACGGAACAGCGTTCCTGGGAAGACTCCAGATCAATGGGCAAGGTCTGCTCCCTGTGAGAAGTCAGCGAAGTGTGTGAACACTTTAGAGAGATTTCCCCCATGTGATTACATTTTTATAAGTTAAACACATAAGGGCTTAAATTTCAGTTGTCTAAATATTTTACCTTTCTGAAATATCACACTGGCTGGTTAGATATGGTGTTAGTTAGAAAAAGTAATTGTGTAATAAATGTTAAGTACTCTCTAACTTGGGGAATACTTTAGTGTGTGTTGTCTGAACATGTAAAGATGATTTACCGATATGAACAGGTTAATTATTTTTGTTTATATCATTTTCTTTAACATACAGTAACATTGGGTGTTCTTGACCTTTAGGGTTCCTTTAGCCAGCAGAGCTTACATCAAGACAGCAGGGCTGAGATCTACCACAGCCTGGGCAATGGCCTGTCTCGCGGAAATTAAGGTACAGAAGATGTTTTCATTCTTATCAACAGAAAAGCAAGGTCCGTTCCATAATTAACTCGCACAGTCTCTTACTGATGGACATCTTGGTTGCTTTCTTTTCTTTTTTCTTTATCCCTTTTTTTTCTTTTCTTCTTTTCATTTTTTTCTTGCCATTACACTTATGAACTGCAGTGATATGTTTTTATATATCGTTGAACTTCTGAGAGTATTTTGGCCATGAAAAAGCTGAGTCAAAAGATCGCTACAATTTATTACTTCTCATTTTTTTTGTCACCATCATGTGGCCTGTACAACCTCTTCTTAAAATTCAAGTTTTTCCTCTGTGACCAAGATCTTGATCAATTTTTGCAAATGCCCATGGACATAAGAAAATAATTTTATTTTTTGGTCAAGAAATGGCCTCTGTATCTTTACTTAACTATTTTACTATCTGCTCAGTTCTGAAAGTGGTATTTTGAAACTTACTATGTTATCACATTTTTTAAAAGATTTTTCATTTTTATTAGTTGTCCCCTCATTTAGCTGCTGGGTAGTTTGGTATATATATCCGACTATTACTGCTTCATCCTGAATTGTGCCTTTTTATTGTTATGTAAAATTTTTGTTGTCTTGGTTTGTGAATCTAAACTTAAATTTCACCACATCTTATTAACATTGTCACTCTTCTTTCTCTTTGCATTTTCCTTTGCAGTACTTCTTGGCACTACTTTATTTTCAGGTTTGCTTTCAGTGGGTTCTTTGTTTTACAAACACAGAGCTCTGTTTTTAACCCACTCTGCTGGCCTCTGTCTTTCAATGAAAGAATTCAGTATTGTGACCTGTTTCACTCTGTTTATAATTGTTACAGTTTACTCTTTATTTTTGTTAGTTTGATCATGTTATTTCATTGTTGTCACTGAGGCTGGAGATTTTACTTTGCATTCTGTTCTATGAATGGTTCCCTCCCCCAGCTCTCCTTAAACACATAGGACTCTTCTCTTACTTTAAAACAAGACATCAACTCTTTTCTCTGCCAAGACACTGTTTTCACCACCAGGACACCCTAATCGTCCCCCTCTGTCTCCTCTCCCCTATCCTAAGATGAGACTTTAGGGTACTTTTTTCTCTTTTCCTGCCCCCACCTTTACTCCTCCCTTCAATGAGACCAACTCCCAACTACTAGAGTGAACTAAATTATTTATTATGTATCAGAATTTCCCTTAAAGTAAATCCTTTTGTTTCAAAAGTTATTATACAAGGCTCAGTGGTTGAGCGTGTGCTTGGCATGCAAGAGGTCCTGGGTTCAATCCCCAGTTCCTTCATTAAAAATAAATAAGTAAATAAATGAATAAACCTAATTATCTACCCCCCTCCCCAACAAACAAACAAAAGATCTTATCACAAAAGTTCTTGTCCGGCACCTACACTACACAGGCTGTCCTTAGTCACTAAGATACAGTGTGTATCACACACTTTCTGTGTAAACACGCAGAGGTGCAGTGTGAGGGGCATGGCTCCTGCCTTTGTTCTTCGCTTTGTCTTTCTCCCTTTGAAGGTCTTCGCTCTGGTTTATTTGTTGCTTGGTTAGTCTTTTCTTAGGTACTTTCCTCAGGTGTGGTGTTTGAGCAATATACTGTCAGCCTCCTCCCCATGCTCAGATGTCCTCCTCTCATCCTGGGGACGCCCCCTTGACTAGACGCCAGGTTCCCGGCCTGCGGTCCTTCTCTCTCAGCGGTCTGTAGGCGCTGTTCCGCTGTCTGTTAGCTCCAGTGTCACAGGTGTGCAGTTGGTGCCAGGATGACTTTTCTTTTCCTTTATACCTTGTTCTCCCTGCTTGTAAGCTGGTGGGGGTTTCCTCTTGACTCCTCTGAAGTTCAGGAATTAGTACCAGGATATACTTATGTAAGTGTCTTTTCTACTCAGCCCAGAGCTCAGTGAGCGGGCCGCCTGAGTTCTGATCCTGGCTCTGCCACTTACTGGCTGCGAAACGTGAGGTAAGATACTTAACATCTCTCTGCCTCAGTTTCTCATTTGCAAGATGAAAATAATAATTTCATAGAGTCATGTGAGGACTAGGTGAATTAGCATTTCTCAGGTAGTTAGAGCAGTGCCTAGCATACAGAGAGTGTGTAAGTGGTAACTTCTGCCTCGTGATGTTGGGGAGAGGGAAGTTCCCCCTCCCACCCTTGAGTTCTTTTGGCTGATCTAATAATTAAAGTGACATAAAACAGATTACCAGGAGAAAAAAATCAAGTTTCATTCATATGCATGGAAGTCTTATAGAAATGGGACCCCTGAAGTGACCGAAGCAAGCTATTTATATATTATCTTTAGACGAAGAAACAATTATTAGTGAAGATTTAATGAAACAAGGGGGCTTGTGCTGTGGTAGCAGACTAGTGACAAAGTAACAGTGTTTTTTCATACAACTTTCTTAGCCTTGAATTCCCTAACTGTGTTGATAAGGATGCTTTCTATCCTGGTAGAGGGGGGACACCTTCACATGGGAGATTTATTTTCTGATTTCAGGAGGAAATAAGGGGGTCAGAGTGCCTTTATAAAAAATATCTTTTCTCTTTTACTGGCTGTTTCTCAAGTCACTTTAATTCAAAATAATCAATGTGTCATTGAGACATATTATGGGGCAGCCTTCCCTGGACCCCAAGAGTAATAATGATTATAGTTATTATAATTATTATATATTATTATAGAATATATAATAATTATAAAAATCATGTTTTCCCTCCAGCTTAGGCACTCTTTCATCCATTATTTATTTAGTTATTATTTCCTTAACTATTTTGCTTTAGTGACTTTAACCTTAAACTGCTTCCTTTTTTCTGCTTCTAGGATTCCTGTTACAAACATGTTGAGCTTCCCGATCTCCCCTCCAAGTCGCTTACCCTTTCTCACATGGTTTCCGTCTCATTATATTTTGGCTCTGCACTTTGAGTTATTCTTGGACATTATCTTCCAGGCTATAACAAGAGTCATAGAGATGTGCTCTGCTTTATTTATTGGAACATTTAGCTTTAAAATCATGGGGGTTTTTTAGTTTGAGAAGTTGTGTGCGCACGCGCTTTATGTGATGTCTCTAGAAGCTCTTACCTTTTTTCAGATGCTTATCTGTCTCCTCCAGTAGTTCTGTTCACCAGACGTGCATTCTGTTTGTTCTGCCCGTGTTCTCTCTAGCTGCTGAGGGACCTCCTCCCGTTAGATGTGCCGTTGTTCTTCTTGGTTGGCTCAGTGGGGCTCAAGAGTGGGCAGTAAGGTATTTAAATGGCCGGAATCCTGTAAGTGGTAAAAGGCAGGCGGATGTCTGGCACCCCTGGGCTTGGTAGTGTAAGGAGACTCTCAGCTGTGCTGGGACACCCTGTTCACTGGTCTCGCTGCAGGTCCACAGGTTTGGGAAGGCCAGATTCTTCCCTGGCTCCAGTGATCCTGCCTTCTGGGCTCCAGTGATGGTCTCCGATCACTCACCCAGCCCAAGGCAAGGAAGCCACACACCGGCTCCTTCTGGGACCACAGCAGAGCCCAGGGCTTCTCTCAGTGCCAGGTGCCTCTAGTTCTGAGCATCACTTGGCTCAGAAGAAGTAAATAGCTTGGAGTTGAGAGAAAAAGCAAAGAACTACTTCCACATCACCACGTTCCCAGAATCTATGATTTTCTGTTTTGTTTGATTTAAATCTTTAGGTCCAGTTTCTTTTAATAAGGAGAAGGGGGTATGATTACAATTCATTTTTTCCCAAACTGCCAGTGATTTCACCAGTGTGTATTTACACATAAATTTATTTACCCACCCACAAATTTGAAATGTTACTTTTACCTTGATGTAGACATACATTTTTCAGAAAAGTAGAAAGTAAATGATTGGAAAAGAATCCACAGATAATACTCAATAAATTTTCCTTTACTGTCAGTTTGCCCTGCAAGGACCTAGAGTAAAAACTGTTGCTCTAAACGTGACTACCAACAAAGAGGGTCCATTAAAGCGGGTAAGACGTAGCACAGCAGAGTGTTTTTGCAGAGGGGATGCAGTGATGACCCACAGTGTAAGCTAAGTCATCTCTGTGTCCAGCCTTGACCCAGGCCCCTCTTTGGAGCTCGGTACCCAGAGCGGCACACAAGCAGCTCGACCTTGGGGAGGCCAGTGCCTCAAAACATGAAAGTTAAGCCTGGGGACGTCAGATACATTTCATGTGTACTGTAAACCATTCTCCCTCCTATATGTCATAACAAGTAAGGAAAATCAAGTTAGTTATTATTTTAAGCAGATGGAAACACATCTCTACTTCTGCCTGGTACCCAAATGTCATGGCTTGAAAAGGTCCTACAGTAAAATAAAGAGATTGAAAGATACTTGAGGTCAGACTACCTCATTGAACGGGGACCTCAGGGGAGAAAGAGCACAGGGTCTGGTACATTTTAAGATCTTAATAAAAATTAGCCCTGATACCACTATTAATTTTAAACAAAACTACCATTTACATCTTCATTCTTTTTGTGACTTTCTGCCCCTTCCTGGGGGATCCATATGATTCCCACCTTAGAATTTAGCACCCAGGGAAAGTCTGTCCCTTTCCTGAAGGACATTTTGTTTCTTTCCCCCAGGTACCCCCTGGCTCTGGCTGAAACCTGGCTGTCACTGAGCGCTCGGCCTCCTCTGTAGACAGACCAAGGGACCCCTGGGCCTGGAGGTGGGGTAGGTGTCCGCCTTGCCCCCCACTGCCCCTTCTGCCCCACATCTCATTGCCTTAGAGGCATTCGCTGTCAGATTGCCCAGGTCATATGCAGATCTCTTCCTGTCATTTCTGTAATAGCATAGACCTGTATTCCTGTCAGAACTCTTTATGATCTCAGTGTCCACTGTAGTCTGGACACTGTGTAGTCTGTGTGGTCTGATCCCTTAATGTCTTGGCTTCCCTGCCTCTGATGACCTGCCTCAGTTACATCCCAGACCTTATCATCCCCAGAAGGGTATACCTTCCAGAAAATCTCAGTTTCAAGAATCCTGCTCTTAACCTCTTTCTCTTTCCCATCCACTTCCTCTTGTTCCCTGACACGATTCTTTAACCCTATGGGACCTCCAGTCATTTGACCCTCCTCACCACCTGTCCTCAGTCTTCTTTCACAGCTTAAACTTTATGTTCTATCATTCCAGTCATTTCCTTGCTGGTGCTTTTCATTCTCCTGCTTCCTGTTTGACTTAAATGTTAGAATCAGAAGAGGACTTTAACACGCTCTCCTCACCAAGTCTACCAGCATATTGGAACCTGCGCCCACATCCACCGCCTTGTCAGCATTGTAAATAAATGAGCTGTCCTCGTCTCCAGCACCGGAGTCCAGGCTTCCATTCCCTCTTGCCTACTTCAGGGCGTTTTTCCCTACTGGGTTATTCCCATCAGCATGTAAACATGCTGTAATAGACTGCAACTTAAAAAAATATAACCCTCCCCTGAGCCCGCATGCTCCATCGGCTACCGTCCCTTCTCTGCTTCCCTTCACAGGAAGACTTGTAGCTCACTGTGAGTATTTGGTGTCTGCTTCTCCTCTTCCCACTCTCCCTTGTGCCCACTTCCGTCAGGGCTTCATCACCGACACTCTGCTGAAGATGCTCACCTTTCTAACCTGTTCACACTTGGACTCAGATATCACTCCTTCTTGAAGTGGATGTGTCCACTTTGTTGTGGGAGCCCCTCCCTAGGTTCCGCTGCTGTGCCAGGGCGAGCTGCTGGCCATATGCATTGCTGCGTCGTCACTGACCAAACATCTGTTCCTAGATCACCAGTGTCCAACCCATAGACTTTTCTTTTTTAACTTCTCTCGCCTCCTAGATGGCTCATCCAGTTCTGATGCTTTAAATACCATTCATAAACTGGCTAACAACCACTGTTCCTGATTTACATCTAAATTTATATCTGTAGCCTGAACCTCTCCTCTGAACTCGATGCTTATGTCCAATGACTCACTTGACATCCATGCTTGGTCTAAGAGGTATCTCAAAATTAACATGTCAAGGACTATATACTCTTGTCTCCTGTGTAGCTTTTCCTCCCCAACACTTCCCAGCTCAGTAACAGGCAACTCGTCTTCCCGACGCTCAGGTCAGAACCGTCAGTCACTTCAGACCTTTTCAATCTTTAACATTCCACATCCAATCCATCCTGTTGGTTCCACCTTTAAAATAGACACAGAATCCAACTACTTCTCACTGCGTTCACCAGTAGCACTCTTTATTCAAGCCACCATCACTTCCACCTGGATTCCTTAACTAGCCTCCTTGTAACACTCTTAACCCCTCTGTGGTCCACTCTCAACAGAGCAGCCAGAATGATCCCTTTGAAATGTAATGTCATGTTACACCTCTGCTCAAAACCCTCCAATAGTTCCCATCCTTCAGAACAGAACCAGAATCCTTATAACACCTACAGGATCTGATGTGATTTGACCCACCCCCACCCCCCAGATGGGAGAGTTACTAGTTTTTTCTCCAAATTTCCTGTTCTCCTCCCGGCTACAGATAGGATGACAACTTCTTGGCTTCTTCAAATTGTGTGTGTCATGTGACTGACCTGCCAGTTAAATGTTGGGGGAAGTGTGTTGTATGTCACCTCCAGATGGCACCTCTCAGAGCCAGTGCATCATTTGACATGCTTTCCTTCCCTCTGCCACACTGATGGCAGTGCTCTACATGGTGACCGCTTTGTCACTGGCTTCCAGAGTGAGGAGCAGAAGCAGCCCCAGGTGTGATGCTGTGGGCATGTGGCCTGAGCTACATGGTGCTTTAACCCTGAGGACTTGGGGGCTGTTCCTCCTTGCCTGGCCACCTCTCTGATGTAATCGCCACCTTGCCCCCTCACTCACTGTGCTTGGGCCACACTGGTCTCCTTCCTGATCTTTGTGCTGCCAGGCATGCACCTGCTCTAGGGCTTTAACCTAAAATGTAATAAAGTGTAAAAAGGAATCTTTACTCTGAAATACTGATTCCTCAAGCTTTAGATTTATTTTTTTTTTAGATTTCTTGTATAATACCTATTATAATAGGTTTAGTAATATCAAGTCAATATTTCTGTCTGTAGGCTGGTGCATTTGTTTTAGATCCAATGTGTGGACTTGGAACAATACTTCTGGAAGCTGCTAAAGAATGGCCAGTAAGTTCCGAAGTTGGCAGACCAAGCGTGTAGTTATTTTAATCAGTGTGCGTGTGTCACTTACAGGTAGACTTTCTGTTTGGGGATGAACTTTTAATCACATGGGTTGCTATTGACTGTAGTCAGGATGGATTATGAAGGGTTAACTAAATTGCTACGCTCCTTCTGTAAGTACTGTGATAAATTTAGGAACTTATGACAGAGTTCCTGTAATTAGTCATGCCCTCGATTATACAGATCCCTAAATTGCTTAGACATCTGTAATTGTAAAATATTAACAGATTTTACACTTTTAACAAAAACTTTTGTTTTTTGCTACTGAATATCATTTTAAAGAAATATTCTAAATTTGTTTTAACATAAATTAACAAATTAATCTATTAATTTCATTGTCATCATTTGAGAAAATGCAGGTTGATTTTCTTGACTCTAAAATGTCTGATGGGTTTATTTATTCTTATAATATGAATTTCTTTTCTCGTAGGACGTGTATTATGTGGGTGCTGATGTCAGTGACTCACAGTTACTAGGTGCATGTGACAATCTGAAAGCTGCAGGCCTTAAGGATAAAATTGAGTTGATTAAAGCCTCTGTTACAGGTAAGATATTAAAAATGCAAACATTTGGAATAATGAACATATGTAAATACATTTTAAATCATAATATAAAACAAGACTCACTTCCCATATATGAAGGTTGAATTCTTTATACCGTGTGATGATATATCTATGGGCCCAATACTCAGGTTACTTTGAATATTACAATTGTAACTTTTTTATTTTTCAAAAAATTCAATCAGGAACAATATTTATGTAGTTTCCCTAAGCATTTAAGTAAAAGCATGCCTTTTTAAGATATGTTTGTTGCATCTGAACCATTTCTCGTATCATAACCAGAGATCACATAATACAGGCATAAAATAAAGAGAACAATATAATAATAATAAAGCTCTCTGGATATCTTTCAATAAACTATATGAAATGTTTTGAGTCATCTTACCTTCTCCTCGCCTTTGTTCCTCGGTATTCTTATGATGTATGAAGGCGAGGTACCCAGCCACCCCAGTTTGCTAAACCAGTACCAATTTCAGTACTAAACCTGGGGGAGTCTGGGGCAAACCCGGACAGCCGGTCACCCTGTGAGGTAGAGGGACACCATTACCCCCAGTTCACTAATGAGGAATCTGCAAACATGATGAAGAATCAAGTCTCTGGAGCCCAAAATAATATTTCCCTAAGAGCCATGGGACTTAGACTGTTTTAGAAAAGGCTCACATTCCTTCTTTCTCTCCCTAAGTACCTTTTTCCATTAAAAGTGACCACCCTTAATTCCCAGCCAAGAAAATTGTATTCCCTTGTCAGAGCGAGAAGAAGTAATGGGTAGGTCCCAGTATGGAACCTGTAATCTAAAGGAACAGAATATTGTTTAAAAAAATTTCATTGTAGTGGAAAAGTAGCAGAGATGAGTTATCAACCAGAAGAAAATACTCGGATGACTTTTGTATAAGTGCATAATAAAGCATCCTCTAAGAAAAGACTGTCTTATTGACTGAGATCTCGTTTGCTGCCAGTAACTCTTTCTAGACTTCCTGTCAAGGTTTCTAACAGAACTCTGCATAAGACACACGTTTCCAAAGGAAGCTGAGGAGTGATTAGACCGAAATCAAGTTTTCATACACCCTAATTTCTTTAAGAAAGCTGTTTTTTGAGACCTTCAAGAAAGGATGGAATGGCTCTGTAAGTAGCTTTAGAGCAGTGATTTTTTTTCCAAACCCTCTACAGTCTCCAAAGGGCCGTGGCAGCATGAGGAAGGAAGCACTCCTTTGCTGTGCCCCCAACACCACTTTTACCAGTTTTTATGCTTCTATCATTTCCCATAAGATTTCACTTTAAAAACAAGCAATGGAGCTTAATTGTTATTTTTTTTTAAGTGTCTTAAAAAAAAAAAGTTCTCTGTGATACCAAGTAGTCAATACATCTTAGTTTTTTGAAAGATCATTCTAACTACCAAGTTAAGAATAGATGATAGTGGGGCAAGGATGGAAACAAAGAGACTAGTTAAGACTACTGCAGTGATCCGGGTAAGAAAAGAACGAGAATGATGCTGGGCCTTCTGACTGCAGCTAGAGGGTGGAGTTACCCTCCATTGAGCTGCGGAAAACTGCAGGGGGAGTAAGTTGGAGTTTAGGGCTTGTTCAGTTCTGCATGATTATTAGACACCATGTGAAGATGCCAAACAGTAGTTCAGTATACAGATCTGGAGTTTAGGGGAGAGGGTGGGCATCACTAGTGTAGATAACATTTAAATCCCTGAGATCACCTAGGGAATGAGTACAAATAGAGAAGAGAGGCTTTCTCTGAGGATGACATGCTTAGAGTTCTGGAAGGTGCTATTTTAAGGAGACTAAGTCCAAAGTTAAGTATTTAGCACATGCAGCTGAAGGAAATGCATTTAAATATCACTCTATGAAGCATGACTTTTCATTTAGATCAAATGACCACTCTTCTAAATTCATTTTGCTCATTTACAATTCCGAGTTTTCTTACGTACATAAACAAAATGAAGTTTTATCTGTTAATATGTTGGCTCCATTGGCAGAAGACCTCTGCAGAAAGTTACATGTTGCCAGTTTTATATCGGTGTTAGCAGACGCTTCACAAAGGGAAATCAGCTAAGTCAATTCCAGTAGTGATTTAGCTTTTCTCCCCCCAATTCTAGGAAATTAAGGAAGTTTTTTTCTGTCAGAAATGAAACATCTTTCATTATTGTGAATACTGTTGTAAATTCAGCTCAGCACTGCTTGTGTGTCTGTTTACACATTGTTTGGTAGACCACAGCATCATGGCAAAAATTAACGTTCTTACTAAATAAAGAAACCTATGAGATGGAAATGTACTTGGAATTTGATGTGGTACCCACATAATTCACAGTTACCTCCAAACAAGCTGTGACATTCTGAATTGAAATAGAAACTTATCAAAATATAAAAGACTGTTTCAAAAGTTTTTACAATATATACAGAGTAACTGAACTGCAGACCGTCAGTGATAAAGATGACTAAATGCAAAAAAAAAAAAATTCGGCATGACAGAAAATGCTTTATTTGTTTGCCTGTCATTAGTTGGGTTTAAAATGTTTAAGCCTTTGAAGAATTACATTGTAAGTCAGCCCAGAGTATCATACATTATACTGCTACTTTAAAGAAGTTGCCTTGCTGTGGTTGCATTTTTTTTCCAGAATTCATTGGAAATCTGTAATCCAAGAATTCAACAAATGGAGTGCCAAAAAAAAGTTAAGTTTTTGAAATTTTTGATGAATTATAGTTACTAAAAACAAAACTGACAACAGGACATTAAAAATCTACCCCTAAAAACACCAAGGAAGAAATGAACAAAGCTGTGAGAGCTCAATAATGCACCATGTTTATTCTGGAATTCTGTAAATATAGTCTTGGATAGTCTCATGGGGAGAACCTTCTAAAGGCTTCCTTAATTTGAATTGGATAAATGTATATTCTAGAGTGGAATGGAATGGAATTGAGAAGGGCTTATTAGATTTTATAGCTTCTGAATTTGGTAAAGCAATTAAAATAATAGAGACAACTTAGCTGAGTTCTGTGTTATGAAAATATTTGTCAAAGGCACTCTGAATACAGAAGCTGTGAACCAAAGGGCTGAAATACTTACTTTCCCTGTGAAAGAAGTAGGACTGACAGTCTCCTCCATTTAGCAGAATTTACTCTCAGCTCTCTACCATTACTTCCTATAGAGAAACTGTTTTCTCAAATAAAAATATCATTTCCAGATAAGTTTATCAAACATAAAAATGAAACTTTGAAGAATATTGCAGGCAATTGTTTAAAAAAATTTAGAAGTTCATATTTTAGAAAAAAGTACTACATTCTTCAGAAAAATACCAGTGATGACAGCAGATACATCTAAGCAGATACATCTGAGAAACTGATCAGTATATGAATACAGACCAAAAATAATTATTTCGCTTATTTTTAATGTTAAATGATACTTTTTAAAGTTTGTATTAAAAAAAAAATTCATTGTGCCAGATATGTTGTCTTTAGATTCACCATAATAAACCAATTTGTTAGACAATATAGAATATATGATATTCTATATAAATACATATATATTCTATAAATATAAATATAGAATATATTATTATTTGTTATTTATATAGAAATTTATTTTTATTTCTAACCCCTTTGTTCTCAACAATGTTTCTGCCTGAACTGTAAATTAAATGGTGACCAGATCCAGAAGCCAGACTACATTTTGTATATTTCAGACTAATTATGGACTTCTAGATTAAGAAAACAGATTGAAACTTCACTGAAGTATTTGCATTCTCCTATATTTAATAAGATAAGAAAAAGAATAGCATAAATAGAAAGAAAAAATTTACCAGCAGCAACCAGACAAGGAAAGGGCATAATCTAATGCCATAAACTTCAAAATCTGGCCATGACAGAAAGAAAGAGAAAGTTACAGACAAGAGCCAATGGAATAGTGGCTACTTATAAGGTTACTGAGGCAAAGTGTGACCCAAAAATATCGTGCCCAACCAAGATGTCATTTTAGTACAGAGATACTTTCAAATATAAAAAAGTTCAGGCAACATTTCACTAATAAGCACTTTTGGGAGAAAAATTAATAAAATCCAGACATTTAAGAGACGAACCAACTGAAAAATGGAGAAAGCCAAGGTAAAGTGACTAGTCGTGAGGATTGAATCAAATATACAACTGATTTTGAACAAGCGGGAATTACAGGACAGAATGCCATTGCTATGAATCTGGACGATGGCAAGAATAACAAACAGCAGAAAGCAGGATGGAAGGAAATAGGAAGAGTGTGCCCAATTCTATAGAAGTCCTCAGTTCACCTAGTCTTTTGTCTAAGTATATACATGGAAAAATACCTTTAAGGCTTTTAAAACCTATTGGAAGAAAACATCTTAGGGCCATAACCCTGGTTTTAAGCAGTTCTTCCTCATTTTTCTCCCAGTAGGAAGGAGGAAATGGGACACTTCTTTTGTTTCAGACATACCAGTATTTAAGTTTTTTTTCATGTTCTTGAATCATCCTGCAGAGATGCAAAAAAGAGCTGACTTTCTACTTGTTTGTTTTGAGTTATGTTTCTATTTCAGAATTTTATCTCCTTAGTTACAAATGCTTCGTTCACAGGCAGTTCAAATATTTAATAATTTAAAAGACTTTACTTTGTGTTGAATCTTATGGGTCAGATGCTCGTGATTTTAGGAGTTTCTGCATCAGAAACTCTGCGGGTGGGACCAACCTTGTGTTCTACCAAGCCCTTCAGTTGGTTCTGATAACACACTAAATAGGTTTGGCTAAGGAGGGCCTGAGAATTTGCATTTGTGGTTCCCAGGTGGTACTGATGCCGCTTGCCTGGGGACACACCTTGAGAACTACTGCCCTCAAGGGAAGGCGAGTTGGAAAGAGGCCCATTTAGAAGTAGATGTCCTACCTAGCTTTGAGCAGCCGTGGGAAGGGATTGCTATGTTCTGCAGAGCTTCTCTGAAGGGCTCCATCCGGCCCACTAGTCTCCACCTGGCCGTTGTCTCCCCTATACGCATCACGGAGGACGCTGGAAATCATGACCACAGCAGCTGACAGCCGAGTGCTCACTCTGTGCCAGGCCCTGTTCTAAATACTCTCCATAAGTTTCTCACTTGTTCACTTCTAAGATAGGTACTTTTATGCCATTTTACAGATGAGAAAACTGAAGCAATAATTTCCCAAAGTCCCATGGCTAGTAAGTGGCAGAGCCAAATGCACACCATCTGACACCAAAGTCTGCACTCTCGGCCCCGTCAACAGAAGCTTGGGTTACTTTACGCTGTGTTGGTAGATGATACTGCTCAGTTATAGAACTTTGTAAAAAAAAAAAAAAAAAAGATTACTCTCTTCTATCTAGGTGAAGTTTTATTCCTTTAACTTCTAAAATGATTCCTTTAACTTCTAAAATGATTCCTAAAAACTTCTAAAAAGCAGTTCAGCAAATTATATGTTACAGAGTAGGAAAGTTGCAAATAAAAATAGAGACCAACCAGAAGGGGAGAAAACGTTACCAAACCTGCACATGGGTAACTAATGTATGTGTGTGTAGGCAAAAGACCTGGGCTCCGTCTCAGGAATAAATTACTGCATGGTTCCTCAGGTATAAAACACTTGGTAACCATGATCGCCTTCCTTGTCTATTCATTGTCTTTAGTAGTTTTGCAAAAAGTATCGTCACAGTATTCAGTACAGTATAGTGTATAGTATGCAAATAGATGTGTCCTGTATCAATACCCTAAAGCTATGTGTGTGAAGTTAAAACATGCCTTAGAAAAAAGATTTCCTGCCCAGCCCTGACAGAATATTATCCTGTTACTTGTTTTCTAACAACCTGCTCTTCTTTCTCCTGCTAACCTCGGGGTAAGGGTCAGAACTAGGAAAGATTAACAAGTGTTCATTAGACGTTCCCAGATTGCAGGATTTTTTGTTTAATTTTTAAATTTCCTGCCAACAAAAATTTATACTGTCTTCAGAATAGTAAAGATTATTTAAGTTCTGTTAGACTTCTATAGAATTAGATGCTGTCCAAAATGAAAGTATCTGACCTAACTTACTTTAGATGGTGATGGAAATAAAATAAAGAGAAAGTGAGAAGTGTACTCAGAAAATCTGGAAGTTAAGGTTGAGTGTATCCCCTTATGGTAATCTAATTTCTGAGAATAAAATGTAAAGCTGAGAAATTTAGATTCAATAATTGAACACTGTATTTAATTTTATTTAGTGATGATGCTCATTGTGTTGTTTATTGACTGTTTAGCCTTTTCTCTAGTCTTGGACTTAAGTAGATGTTCTTAACCTTTTGGGTCTCCTTTAAAAATACAGTGAAAGCTAGGGACCATCTTCCTTAGAAACAAATAGATCTACACTTGCAAAATTTTATATATAACCATGAAAAGGGAAGTGAAAGTTATAGATGTAATTTTGTAAAAGGTTTTTCTAGACAATATATTTCCTCTTGGATCTAGCAACTTTCTATTCATGTAATGTATTTAAAGAATTGAATTTTCTGGTTAATTAAAAAATCTGCTTAACTTATGTCGTGTTTTATTATACCTGAAAAACTACTTTTCAAAGAACAGAACACAACAACTGTACCATCTCTCTGTGATTCTGAAAGCTTTTCAGGATCCTGTAATTTCTTTAAAACAATATTAGTAATCCTAAATTTTATTTAATATGTAAAAATAATCCTGTGTACTTCAATTATCTCATATTTAGGTTTTAAATATTTGAACTTACTGTAATAGGATTCTATCGTTTTTGTATTTCAGAATTGCCTTTGCCTTCAGAAAGTGTCGATACTATTATTTCTGACATTCCATTTGGGAAAAAGTTTAAGTTAGGAGAAGACATCAAAAGCATTCTACAAGAAATGGAAAGGTAAGTTGTGGATTTATTTCCATGATTTTTGAGCTATTGGTCATTTAACCAAAATAGCTCTTCAGTTAAGATTTGACTGCATTTTAATAATTTCCCATAGTTTTTATAGCTTAATTTTCTAAGGTTTCAAATCAGAAGTTTATAATTAAATAGTTAGTTATTCCATAGCATCTTACACTGTAACTTTTATTCAGAAAAAAAAAAGTATTTTTTCATTGTTGACTGAAATTTGAGTATCTAAAATAGTAACCTCTCTTTCAGTCGCTGAGCTAGTTAATTTACACACTTACTTCTAATCCTCCCCAAAACCCTGCCTCCTGTGTGTGAATCCCCCACACTTCATAGGTGAGAAACTGGGACCCAGAAAGTTTATCTTTCTCAAGATCACAGAGCTACCGAACAACAAAACAGAATTTCCACAGAGAACATTGAGTCACATAGAATGGACAATACCATTGTTGATGGTGATTTGAAAATGAAGAGATGCCATTTGTGTTGTGTTTCTAAGGTAAGCCTCGGAGAATATAATTCAAAGTATTTCTCTGAGAGTTTCAAACAGTGTGGCCTGAAAGGTATTTTCCTGATCATTTAAGTTGATAGAGGAGAGAGCCTACAATGTGTAGAGGAATGAAAGGGCATGGATAAGGGGTCAGTTTGTATGGAGTTGTGTCAACTGAGCACTTGGTGGTGCAGGACAACATCCATGGTGCAGAGCCTGCAGGTAACCCTGCTGTCACCTGGGATCTTCTTTCTGGGCCACACCTACAAGTTAGACACTTTCTGAGCTCCCGTACTCCCCTCTGCCTGACAGCACATTCCCCTCGAGCAGATTCTGCAACCCTGACTTCACACTAACATCACTTCAGGAGCTTCTGAGAAACACCGTTGCCCATTCTCCGCCACTCCCGGCCGAGGCTCCGACTGAATTGGTCTGGAGGGAGCCTGGGCGTCAGTATTTCCTAAGGGCTCCTGAACTGCTTCTGTCGAGCGCCAGGGTTGACGACCCCAGCCTTCGTGCCTACTGAGCTATTCACCAGCTATGCTATTCAGCCCGCTCATGGTGAGATACCAGTGTGTGTGAGCATATTGGACTGAATGTGGAACTTTACACTTAACCTGGAACTTTCCAGAGATGGTGGCTTACCATCCCTCGGTCTAGTGCTGCATGTCTTACACATGTCCACAAGGCAGTGGAGGGCAGTGTTTGGAGTAGGCAGTCCTTTCAGCATTAGTAAAATTATACCAGCCTGACTTACTCTAGGCCAGTTTTGGTTTTTATGCTAGGTAGCTGGAAATGAGACAGTAACAGACATGACTGTCATCACATTGTTTCGGTAAACCCAAATATTTGCCTGGGAAACAGGAAGATATTCCAGATTTCCCACATAATTTGAGTATCTCGGTGGGATCAGTTCGAGGTTAACATATTTGGACAAAAGGAACGTTCCCGTCTCCTGTGACCAAGCCTCCCTGCCACCTGCCCTTCACATTTGCGGTTTTCTTTGCCCTCTTCTGGTCTGAGGCTGATGCAGGCAGTGCAGCGCAGTGTAGTGGTGGCGAGTCCCAGCTTCGGAGCCTGACTGCCTGGCACCGATCCTGGCTCTGTTAACACTTCCTCCGTCCTAGGCACGTCGCTTAACCACTCTGTGCCTCGTCTTTAGATAACAGTACCTACTGCACAGCACTGCTCTGAGGAGCCAGTGGACTTAAAGCTCTTCGAACGGTGCTGGGCACCTGGAAAGTGTTCAGTAACTGTTTGCTTTGTTTTAGCTTAAGCCACTTCCGATCCTTTTGAGATCCTCTTTAGGTGGGGATATATATATATATAAATTTATCTAAGTCAACATAACTTTTTTCCCAGTGGTTTACCAATAGTTTAAGACTCTAAATAGAAAATGGAAGGGAATGGAGAGGGAATGTTGTTAGCAAAAATAAGAAAAAATATAAGAGGCCAGTAAACCTGCTCATAGTTGGCCCTAAAGGTAAGACAGCACTGGATTCTTTAAGAAAGAACATGCCCTCAGACTCTTAAATCATCAGACAGATGACTGCTCTGGTGATGTGAGCTACACACTCCTGGCTCAGTTATTTCCTCCCCTAATTTATTTCAGCAGTAACAGTCTCATGCGTGCAAAGTGCAGTGAGGAATTCAGACAAGTATAATATTTGAGTTTTCCTCTCTAATATAACCATGTAAAACATGAGCAAAATTAGAAATCAGCTTGCTCGGCTTGAAGGAGGAAGTCACTGTATCCCCAAAGACTCGAGGTGGATTCATGGAAGAAGCAGGATTTCAGTGAAATTTAGAAATTTGCAAAGAATAAAAAAGACCACGCCATGCTTTATACATACACTCAACTTGAGTACATCTTGAGTAAACAGTGAAGCAAAAAGGGTATTCAAAAAAACAATGAATTTACTGGACTGCTTGGAATGGAGACAGTGGTAGAAGGTTAAGGCCTCATGCCTTCCAAGTTCAAATAATTTGGGAATTTGTACCATCAACCCCTAATCACGCAGGTTCACATGCAAAAGGGAAATCTCTTTCACGTTGTTTGATACAGAATTTCCCCAACTTATTGCACATAATTTTTGTTGTTTTTATAGGAAATAATCTCTCATACTACACTAGTGTTCAGAGGACTACAACTTGGGAAATGTTGCTTTTTAATTTCTAAATAGCTTTCTTAATAAGAAATTATGTGTATACGAACATGGAAAGATGCCTGGAAGGACAGTTTATCCAATATGTTCATCTCTGAGTAGCAGGATTTCAGGTGATTTTTACTTTCTTATTTTCCCTGTTATTTGAAAAAAATTTACAATAAATAAATTAGTGAATATCCTGCTAGACGTGTTTCCATGTACATATACACAAATACATACATGTTTTCAATTTCACATAAATAGGATCATCCTTAATTTACTGCAGTGTATAAACTGCTTTTTTTTCATTCAAAAATATGTCATGAATCTCTTTTCTGATCAGTTGTTATAATGTACATTGTATTTTTCAGTGGCTGCCACATATATTATACATATATACCATTATGTAGCTGGTACTTATGGATGGACATTTAGGTAACACCCACTTTTTCATTTTAATAAAGAACAATGCTCTGAACATCTTTGCACAGTTTTTCAAACTTACTCTATGACCAAGTTACTTAAAACCACAGTGCCTCAGCTTCTTCATCTGCAAAATGGCTATGCTGAGAATATACTTGAATTCTGAAGATTAAATGATATATAATACAAAGCATTTAAAACAGTGCCCCATTCAACATAGTCTTGGAATTCCTAGCCACTGCAGTCAGGCAAGAAAAAGAAATAAAAGGGATCCACATTGGAAGAGAAGAGGTAAAACTGTCACTATATGTGGACGACATGATACTATGCATAGAAAACCCTAAAAGCTCCACACAAAAACTACTACAACTGATAAAAGAATTTGGCAAGGTAGCAGGATACATGATTAACATGCAGAAGTCAGTTGCATTTCTTTACACTAACAATGAAATAGGAAAAGAAAGTAAAGAAACAATCCCTTTTATAAAATCGCATCCAAAACATTAAAATACTTAGGAATAAATCTGACCGAGGAGGTGAAAGATTTATACACGGAGAATTACAAAATACTGATTAAGGAAATTAAAGATGATGTAAAGAAATGGAGACATATCCCTTGCTGTTGGATTGGAAGAATCAATACTGTTAAAATGGTCATGCTGCCCAAGGCAATCTACAGATTTAATGCAATCCCTATCAAATTACCCAGGACACATTTCACAGAACTAGAACAAATCATAATAAAATTTATATGGAACCATCAAAGACCTAGAATTGCCAAAGCATTACTGAAGAAAAAGAAAGAGGTGGAGGAATAACTCTCCCAGACTTCAGACAATACTACAGAGCTACAGTAATCAAAACAGTGTGGTATTGGCAGAAAAACAGACATATGGACCAATGGAACAGAACAGAGAGCCCATAAATAAACCCACAGACCTACAGTCAATTAATCTTCAACAAAGGAGGCAAGAATATACAATGGAGAAAAGACAGTCTCTTCAGCAAGTCGTTTTGAGAAAACCGTACAGCATCAGGCAAATCAGTGAAGCAAGAACACTCCCTCACTCCATGCACAAAAATAAACTCAAGGTGGCTTAAAAACTTAAATATGAGACAAGACACAATAAATCTCTTAGAAGAAAACATAGGCAAACCATTCTCTGACATAAACCTTAGCAATGTTCTCTTAGGGCAGTCTACCCAGGCAATAGAAATAAAAGCAAAATGGGATCTAATTAAACTTATAAGCATTTGCACAGCAAAGGAAACCATAAGCAAAACAAAAAGACAGCTTACAGAATGGGAGAAAATATTTGTAAAAGATGAGACTGACAAGGGCTTAATTTCCTGAATATATAAACAGCTCATACAACTTAATAAGAAAAAAAATCCAAATATGGGCAGAAGACCTAAACAAGCAATTCTCCAGTAAAGACATACAACTGGCCAACAGGCACATGAAAAATTTTCAATATCACTAATTATCAGAGAAACGCAAATCCAAACTATAATGAGGTATCACCTCACACCAATCAGAATGGTCATCATTCAAAAGTCCACAAACAATAAACACTGGAGAGGCTGTAGAGAAAAGGGAACCCTCCTACACTGCTGGTGGGAATGCAGTTTGGTACAGCCATTATGGAAAACTGTATGGAGATTCTCAAAAAACTAAACATAGACTTACCATATGATCCAGCAATCCCACTGCTGGGCATACATCTGGAGGAAACTCTATTCAAAAAGATACACGCCTCCCCTCAATGTTCACAGCAGCACTATTTACAGTAGCCAAGACATGGAAGCAACCTAAATGTCCATCAACAGATAACTAGATAAAGAAGCTGTATTATATTTATACAACGGAATACTACCCAGCCATAAAAATGAATAAAATAATGCCATTTGTAGCAACATGGGTGGACCTAGAGATTGTCATTCTAAGTGAAGTAGGCCAGAAAGAGAAAGACAAAGACAAATACCATATGATATCACTGTTGTCCAGATTTTCGCACAGGCTCTGTTTCATGGGCTCTTCCTCCTCTGTCCTGCCTTGAATGTTAAGTCTCTTCCTTGGCCCCTTGTCTTTTCTCTGTGCTGCCACCCCAGCGATCTCATCCACCATTATGTCTTTATCTCCCATTTACTGTTGGAAACTGGAATCTCTGCCCTGAGCCCTGGCCTTTCTCATCCCCTCCACGCTCAGCACAGTCCACCCAGAACTCCCCTCCTCTCCTCCCCCAGCCTGTGGCTCGCCCCCAAGCTGAACTACATGCCGCTCCTCCTCTTCACTTCTTCCTGCCTTTGCTGCTCTCTGCTTCCAGGACCCCCGTGCCCCCGTCCCCAGCGGTCCCTCCGCCCAGCCCACTCCTGCTGGTCCTTGACACCCCGGGTAGGTATCCCATCCTCTGGGGATTTCCCCGACTGCCGCCGAAACTGTTCCCGCAGGCCTCACATGTGCCCGGTGGTGGCGTTCGCCGCACTTCCTCACTCCTCACTTACTTGCCTCTCCCGCTGTTCGGTCATCGCTTTAGCAACTCAGGGGACTGTATGTCATTCGGCACCTTTTCCACAGAAGTGCCATTCAGACTTCGGTCAAAGGATTAAAAAAACGAATTCTCCTCCACCAGTTGACGTCTCAAGGTCTTCCTTCTTCTTCTGATCTCCCCTCTTGCCCTTTCTTTGTTCCTGTCCTCACTCCTGCCCTTGACTTTACTCTGCTATCAGCCTACTGCCTTTGACACACGCTGATTCCTTTGGATTCTTTCATTTGCTTTTCCTTTGTACAATCACTTATTAGACTGTGACTACAAATTACTTTGAGGCTTGCCTTTTAAATAGAGTAAAAATAGATAATTAAAGCAGATCTGTACTAGTGATTTCATAATTACTATAATGAATATGCATTATGGAAGATACTACCTAATTATCAAAATCCTCGTATTTAAATACATAAAATTAAATTTCAAATTAAAAACACCAAATATTTTAAACAAAGTGGGATTGTTTGTTGTCTGCGAAGAAAGAAACACTCATACCAATTATCATTTTTTTGTCGCAGAGTGCTTCACATTGGTGGAACCGCCGTGCTGTTGCTCAGCGAAGATCACTGCAGGCGCCTTAGAGATCACGGAGGGACCAGCATCCCTCTGAACTGTAGGGAGGGCCACGCAGGTGAACCCGGGAGTGAAGAGTGCTTGAATCCTGAGGGGAAAACTGGCATATCAGACCCAGTGTCACCTTCATTCGCAGCCAGTAACCAGGACTCCTTGGACAGAATGCCACCATTTGGCTCTTTGGTGCCAGTGGAATGCTACAAAGTTAGCCTGGGAAAAACAGATGCATTCATGTGCAAATATAAGAAGCTGCACTCTCCTGGACCATAGCAGGCTTGCTGCCGTAGGCTGGGTTCAGGTCCTATGCCAGCTGTACAGCAGCAGAAGGTGGTTTTCTGTGAACTCTTGACAGTGCCAGAGGGTTCCAAGTAAACAGACACCCCTAAGACAGGGGCTGGGGCTGCTGGACACTTGTTCTTAATAAGAGCTTCTACTTCACATGCTAAAGGATGTTTCTGACAAAGAACAATTAATATATATGTGAACTAACAGACTCTTAAGCTTTGCCTTTCGTCAGAATGTGAAAAGATCAGCTCTGCCTGCACTGTTTCTGAGCAGAGGCTTCAACTTCAAAACCAAAGTTTTTAGAGGCTCACCATAAAGTATATGGCAGTCATCACACGTTTGGTAATGTTTTCACCATCAGATTTTTTGAAATGTAGAAACTTTCATGTTTTGACATCAGCTTCTTTTGATATTAAACTTGATTTTTTGAACCTGTAATTTTCTTCTCCGTTGGAATGAAACTAACTTGTGTTTGCAATACACTGTGTATGTGCCATACACAAGTCAGTGGGAGTAAGAGCAATGTGAATTAAGCCAGTGTCCTTCAACATGAAAAATAAACTTTGCTTTTTTCCTGAAAGCATTAATAAATTGTGACCTCATTCTGATTTAAAAAAAAGGCATTCCTTGTGTTCACTACTTGAAGAAACAGGAAGTTGATGAAAAATATCATTTCATTTCTTTTCTTTCAGTAGCTTCATGTGGTGGCTTAGCTTCATGGCTGCTTTAGTACCATTTGAACAACCTTCCCACGTTTTGGAAAATTCTCACCTTATGAATCCCAGCTCTCCAAAATGGAAGCAAATCTTGTTTTCCAGCTAGGGTGTGGCACATAACTTTGGCCCAGTATCAAGGTCCACTGGTCAGAGTAGGATTAGTGGGGCACAGATGAGAAGTGGAATTTTCACCTGAGAGCCCCTCACAGTAGGCCTGGTGTGACTGGAGCCTATCACGTATTCACAGAATAAATATTTATCACATACCTACTATCTGCCAAGGCACTGTTCTAGGCCCTTGGAGCACATCAGTGAACCAAACAGATCCCTGCCCTCACAGGACTTAAACCTAGTGGGGAAGACAGGTAAGAAACAGTAGACATAAGTAATGTGTTTGACAGGTTAGAAGATGGTAGGTAGGTGGAGGGGCACTGCAGGGGTAGAGGAAAATGAGCAGTGATGCGGGAGGACAGGAGGGTGGGGACAGAAGTGTTTGGCATTTAAATAGCTCCAGCCTCAGTGAGAATGTGAGGTTGGAGCAAATACCTAAAGGACATGGAAGAGTGTTTCAGGCATATGTAACAGCCTGTGGTGAGCGAGTGTCTGATGTGTTCAAGGAACAGCAGAGAAGCAGATGTGGCTGGAGTAGAGCAAGTGAGGGGAGAATGAGAGGTTAAAGCGGCAGTGAGTGGCAGGAGGCAGTGGTGGGTTAGACCACAGCGGGCCTTAAGGACAATTAAAAGACTTTGACTCAAAAGCACTGTAGAGTTTGGAACAAGTAGCAGTCTAACACACATTTTACAGGATGCTGTGACTACCGTATCATGAGTGGATTGTAGGGAGGTAGGCATGGACACGGAGAGGCCATTTGGGAGTTTTTTGCAATAATCCAGGCAAGAGAAAAACGGTAGCTTGCCCCAGGTGGATTCTGGATACATTTTGAAAGTAGAATCAGCAGGATCTACTGATGTGTTTGATGTGTGGTGTGATGAAGAGGAGGCAGGAATGACTAACATTTGGGGCCAGCACCTGGCACAGTGGAGTTTCCCAGTCAACCAATCAGGGAAAGACTACAGGAGGGGCCAGCTTGGTGGGAGAGCTCACAAGTTCAGGTTTAGACTTGCTAACTTTCAGACGTGCATTAAACATCCACGTGGAGGTGCTGAGTAAGCAACTGAACAGGTGAGTCTGCAATTTGAGCAGAAGTTCTACTCCGGAGCTAGAAACTTGGGGATTTGCTGCGTACAGGTGCCATGATACTGGATGGGATCGACAAAGGACTGAGTGAAGGAGAAAGAGGAAGAGGAGCAGGGCTGAGCCCTGGGTTCCTCCAACACTCAGAGGTCAGAAGAGTAATCTCCAGGGGAGACTGAGAAGGAACAACCAGTGAGGCAGGATGAGGAAAGGGCAGTTGCCTAGAAGGCAGATGAACAAAGAACATGGAGGAGGGAGCAATCACCCAGGAAATGCTGCTAATCCTTCTCATAAGGACTGGAAATTGACCATTGGATTTAGCAGTGGGGAGGTTATTAGCGACCTTGCCAGTGGGAGTTCTGGTGGAGTGGAGAAGGAGCAAAACAAGACTGGATTGGGCTTACTTACAAGAAAATAGGAAAAGAGCCAGAGGTAGTGAGTACAGGCAACTCTTTCAACTAGTTTTGGTGTAAAGGGAGTAAAGAAGGGAGGTAGTAGGTTGGTAGGGGGAGTGGAATCAAGAAAATGAGGGGTTTTGGGTTTTTGGGTTTTTGTTTTTGTAAGATGGAAGAAGTAGCACATGCTTTTTTATGTTGAAGAGAATGTTCCAGGAAAGACGAAAACCTGATGATCTAGAAAAAGGGGGACAAATGCTGGAGCCGTGTCCTTGAATTAGGGGATGGAATGCCGGCCACAGGTGGAGGAATCAGCTTTACATAAGAGCATGAATAATTTCTCCATGGTTATATTAGGGAAGAAGCATACAGGCATTTCTGCAGCAACATGATAAGCGTGCTCCTGAAAATGTTGTCATTCACAAATTCATGTGCTAAAAATAACAGAATTGATGGGGAAAATAGGGTTGCGGCAGACCATTCCAAACCTATCCAACTTTGCACGCTGCGCAACTATCAGAAACACCAATTAACACAGTTTAAAAAAAAAAACAACTTTACATTCCTAACACTCCACAGCTCCAAGAAAAGGACAAACACAGCTTGATGGAATTTGGTGGAAGGAAGGGTAGGAGCTGCTTAACTGCACAACCAGCATTCCCAAGACAGAGCCTGTGTTGAAACTGACCCGACGAAGGCGCAGTGGGCGGGCCTTATGTAAAGTACCTTATTCCTCCGCAGCTCGCCCTGTCAGCTCATCCCGTTGGTGGCTTTCACGTTCAGCTGCTCTTATCTGGAGGAACAATATATTAAGGTACTGGGAAGGGAATCACTTACGATCCAACCCAATTTTCACGTTACAGTGACATCATCCCCCTACTGAGCGATAATAATTGAGTCGGCGCTCGTTACAGAAACGCGCAGTGTGGGAGCACAGGCTGCAAGCGGGCACAGGTGCTGGAAGGCGGGCGGATGTGGCGGTGGCAGACAGTGGACGTTCTCTTCTGACTGCTTCAGTTTTTCTCAGTGAAAAGGTATGTGGCCATCTCCCCAGTGCCTGAGTCCATAGTTGGAGTAGCTCCCTTCCACAGTAAAAGAATCCCCACAATGGCTTCGGAACCGTGGAGAAAGGTTGTCTCTCGCTGGAGGGCCAAGTTCACATACTCCCGAGGCTCCCTCTTCCTACCCAAATGGCCAAACACAAACATACCGTATCTTTGTTAGGAATTGCAGGTATTGTGCCGTTAAAGAGGCACAGATGCTTGGTAGACTTCTTTCGTTTAATGGAAATACTGAGGCTTAAACCCAGGACCTCGTGCATGCCAAGCACACACTCTACCACTGAACTATGGACTTCTTTGGCATCTGAAGGCAACCTATGTCAGCTTTGGGTCTGCTGCTGTAACTCATTTACTTTTAACGGAGGCCGGGGCAGGAGAGGGCTCTCCAGCTGGTCCAGGGCCCTCTGTACTCAGCTGTTTTGCCCTGATGACCCAGGAGATCGAACAGTGCTCTAGTGTCTGTGAACCGCCTGGATGCTGTGTGCAGCCCGCAGCAAGTCCCAGTAGGGGGAGTGCAGATGCATCCTCTTCGCTTCTGGAGCACAGCCAAGCTCTCTTGGGCAAGCAATCATTCTCCTTTCAGAAATAACTCTTGCTACAGAGGGCTTGACCACAGAACACTAGGTGACCATGTGACCTGAACTGCCCATCTTGTGATTTGATCAACCAAGCTAGGACAGTGCGCCCAGCCCGGCAGCATGCCCCCATCAGTTGGGAGAGGATTGTATCAGCACTGAGTGTGCACAGCTGACTGTCCTCGTGAGCTGCTGGGACCTTATCCAGCCCTGTGCCTCCCGCCAGCTGTGCAGCTCCCCTCCCTCACGACCAGGGTCCCTGTGAGGAGTTCCCATGAGCAGTTCACCAAGGATGAAAGTCAAGTCTGGTTTGCAGATGGCCCTGCCAGTTTTGCTGGTACCTGGTGGCATTTAACTGCTGGGGCATTTGAGTCCCACGTGGGGCTGAGGGACAGCAGGGAAAGGAGACCCTCCTAGGAGCAGAGTGGTCCACGTTTTACACTTTGCTGGGAAAGAGAGACAGCCTGAGATGCAGTAGCCCCCTCTGTCACGGGCAATGGCTACCAGTTCAAAAGGATGGTCAGTGACAGGAAAGGAGGTCTGAGGAAGAGGAAAGTTGATGCACATGTCAGAACCAGCCTCAATATGGGAGCATATTTGTGTCTTGACCACTGGAATGGTCAAGAGTTCCCATCAAGGATGAGATTCCAAGTATTCAGGTGGCAGACTGCCTGCCCTGTGCCCTTTCCTCAACCACGCTTGCTCGGTGGCCTCGTGGACAAGGTGGCCATGGTGTCAGGGATGAGGATAGTGCATTAGCCCGACAAGGACTCCTCACCAAGGCTGATGTGCCTACTGCCCCTGCTGATTCGTTTTCAGCAGCAGCAACCAACCTAGACTTATTATAATCCCACATCCAGGCGGGAATGCCCCTTGCAGAGAGGGCAGTAATTCGTCCTCACTGGAAGAACTGCTCACTCTGGACTTGGATTCTCCAGGCCAGCCACGCCTTTCAGGGACTTAATTGCCTTGCTTACTATCATTTACTTCCCTGCAGCAATGCTTCCCACCAGAGTTCAGTTACAGTGATGTGAGTAAGACAGCAGACCTCTGCTCATAGGACTTCTGTTCTTACCATCTACCCCATCACCTGAAACAGAAGGCTTAATGGCAGGGCAGAACAGCCTACTGAACACAATTCCTGCGCAGGCAGAGAGAACTCCTCCAGGGGGTGAGACGCCTCCCTGCAGGATGAACCAGCGACCAGTAGATGGTGCTCTTTCTCCCAAAGTCAGAATAAAGGGACCAAGGGGTGAAAGTGGGAGGGATGGCTGTTAACCCAGCACTTCTAACGAAGCAGGCACCATAACGGAACCCACTGCCTGGAAGGACGTCAGCAGAAGCTCCTGGCCTCAGGAGTCAGCAGGGACAGAGGGCAGGGTTCCAGATCCAGAAGCAGTGGTGCCAGCTGTAGTGTGGCTACGCAGCAGAGGCTGCAGTGGGTCACTGTGACAACAATTCTGTCACAGGGTTTGGAAGGCGTTCCTAGTTGTATTGCCACTTAGACTCATTTCCTGCCCTCTTGAACACCTTCATATATGTATATTTTTAAGGAACTCCTTTTCTGCTAAACGACCTAGAGCAGATTCTGCCCATTGCAGCTGGGAACCTCGTCCCACGTAGCGGTTACTGAAGCCCACTCCTATCAGGCAGGCCCTGCCCATCTCATTCTCAGTGC